TTGGTGAGCTCAGGGAAGGGATTTGATGCTGACTGGCGGTTTGGATTGAAGGGAAATATTGAGGATTCGCTTTTCAGGGTAGGATGTGGTTGCCTCATCCTGCTGCCAAATATATTCTGAAAGACACCCTTCTAGGTGGTGGTTTCTTTAAGGAGACATGATTAACTGAGCAAGATTGTTCTCTGTTGTGGTTTTGGAAGAACAACTGGGTAAGGCCACTGTGTTTAAAGAGCATATTTGTTGTGTCTAAATTCCAGTGTCTGTCTATAACTAGACCCACGGTTTAGATCAGTAATTTATTTAATTTCTGATTTAAACTCATGCTCTGACTCTTAGAGAAAACTATGCCCAGGAAGAAGAAAATTACCAGAGCATTCACCATTCCCAAAAACCTTTCAGTAACAGAGGACTTCGACTTGTTTAGCACATGACTTTAGAGAAACCACAAAGCTTGAAAATACTAATTTTTTCATTAAAGTGCCAGAAAATTCAAACCCAGAGTTTTAAACAGTGGTTGTTATATACTATTAATAGCTCTAAAATAAGCAACTTTTGGAATCAGGATGAAAGTTAATTATAGAACTTCTTTGCCGTAGCTGTTTCTATTTACATCTCCAAACCACAGAAGCAAATAATGTAGACTTTACTAACACATCAGCATCTTCTTGTCCTTCTCTTAAGTTTCTGACTTCTTTGAAGCTACTCTTAAAGCTTTCCCTTAAAAACACATCGTAACCGAATATTCCCAGTTCAAGGACAATTTCAGTTTGTAGTTTTTAGTCTAAAGGAAGTCTTCTTAAAATGCCGAATCTCAAGTCACTTATACCCCCAAGTAAGACAAAAGATCAAAGCTGTTGTACACAGGGTGCATATTATCCAGTCTGATTTGTATGTAGTCCTTTTGTGATTGTTTGCTTCATCAACAGCAAACACAACATAGTAGGAAGAATCAAGAGCGTGAAGTTATCTGCTATGTAGTGATCGTTTCCACCACCAAAATGTAAGTGTGACATTTGGGTTGATTTTTAAGAAAAAGAAAAATTTGAAAGTGAAAGTAACTATCCAGAGCAAAAATTTTAAGATACTGCAAAGTCTAGCAGAATTGCATGTTTTGTTTTCAGTCTTAGCCAATTTACATGGCGGCAATTGACTCAGTTGGGGTGGAGAGCTGACTGATTATGAACGTCATTCTCTCCAGCACCCCGCCTCACAGACACGCCCAGCTGACCCTGAATTAATCAGTACCCACCTACACCAGTCTTGGCTGCACATTAGAATCACCTGGGGAGCTTTTAACAATCGCTATGCCAGGTAATTAAATCAGACCAATTAAATTACCATCTCTGGGGGTGTGGTCCAGTCGTGAGCAGCTTTTAAAGTTTCCCAGGTGATTACAATGGGCAGCCAAGGTTATAAAACCGCAGCTCCCTATCTAGATACATCCATGAGGTTCTGATTACCTTAGCATTTCTACTTTTTATTTTATACAGAATGGGGTAAGAGGCTGCCTAGGACTCCCAGAACATTCTCCATTTGTAAAAATATCCCTGAAATGGACAAACAGCCTAACAGAAAGTGAGCACAAGACAAAACATGTATGTCTCTCAAAGACTGTAACCTCATATTCAATCTCATAAGTAACTGAAATGCATTTTTCTAAAAGAAAAATCATTAAGTACCTATTATATTATAGTAATGATTGCAAAGAACTTAATTCCCAGTGCCCTTGGGATTATGAGAGGGAAGACATTCTCATATATTCCCAGAGGAGTGAAAATTGGCAGACTTTAAAATAACAAGAACTACAACTACTAAAGAAAATACCTAACATTTAATGAATGGTAACGATGAGCCAGGAACTGTTCTAAGTACTCCTAACTCACTTGATCCTCATGACAGTTAAGTGAGATAAATACTGTGATTATCCCCATTTTCAGCAAAGAGACTAAGGCACAGAGGCATTGAATCACACAACTAATAAAGAAATGGGACATGGGGCGCCTGGGTGGTGCAGTCGGTTAAGCTTCCGACTTCAGCCAGGTCACGATCTCGCGGTCCGAGCCCCGCGTCAGGCTCTGGGCTGATGGCTCGGAGTCTGGAGGCTGTTTCTGATTCTGTGTCTCCCTCTCTCTCTGCCCCTCCCCCGTTCATGCTCTGTCTCTCTCTGTCCCAAAAATAAATAAACGTTGAAAAAAAATTTTTTAAAAAGAAATGGGACAGGGATGCACATACCAGTATTCTAGATCTAGAGCCTGTGTTCTTTGGTACTCACAGCAAGGTAGGGAAACTTGATATTGTGTGTCCAGGTCTCAAAGAGGACCCAGTATATCAAAATTCCTCTTTTGGGACTTGTCTTAAGAAAATGATCAGATATATGTTTACTTATGTCCACTAGGAGTAAAATAAAATATTGAAAAAATGGGAAACAAGATGAAAGTCCACTAATAGGGGGTTGGTTAAGTTAACCATGTTATAATCATATGATGGGATGATATGTTCCCATTAAAAACCTTGTTGTAAAGCGATTCTTTCCAACCTTTTTCACATCATGACACGTGAAGAAAATGACAGTATTTTTATATCACACGAGGGCAAACAGTCAAGGGGGCTGGAGAATACTGGTTCTGGAAGCTGGTGGCACATGTCCAGCCAGCCACTGCAAGAGGTGATGGAATCTTATCTTGACATGTCTGTAGTGTATCCCCAAAGATTAGTTACAAAGTACTCATTTGTAGGAACATATTATGCTACAGGCAAACGTTCACTAAATTTTGCTAAATGAAGACAATGCCAACTATAAGGAATCGTAATACATTCCAGGCTAATAACTCCATCAGTACATATTGGTACAGGTAGCCATAAACCCATACCAGTTGTCAAACTATTAAAGGAATTCTGTATCTGCTGGTAAATAGCCCATGCACCGACAAGCCCACCAATGCCACTGCCACTGCCACAACCTCTGCTGCCACCACCACCCATGGCTTCTCCCAAATATGGCAAATCTGGACTTCCTCAAGATAAAGCAGCTATGAAGTAAAGCCTGAAAGGGGAGTTTGGAAGGAAGGTTCAGGGCTTTATTCTGATTGGTTGGTGTCTAAGCTGTGCAGGTAGTTCAATGTTTTGAATATTACCTCTGCATATTAAAAAAAAAATCTCGGGGGGCGCCTGGGTGGCGCAGTCGGTTAAGCGTCCGACTTCAGCCAGGTCACGATCTCACGGTCCGTGAGTTCGAGCCCCGCGTCAGGCTCTGGGCTGATGGCTCGGAGCCTGGAGCCTGTTTCTGGTTCTGTGTCTCCCTCTCTCTCTGCCCCTCCCCCGTTCATGCTCTGTCTCTCTCTGTCCCAAAAATAAATAAAAAACATTGAAAAAAAATTAAGAAAAAAAATCTCGGTAGGGAAGAATTTTTGGAAGAATATGTATTGCAGATGTTAATATTTATTCGCTTTGTACTTTTCTGGATTTTTCTACTCATCCGCTTTGATCAATTATATGTTTATAAGTAGGAAAAATAAAGACCAATACATAATACTTTTTAGAATTGATCTTGTGATTATGGTTGAATCTGAATTCTTAAATCCTGATATTTACGAAAGTATCTTTGGCCTTCAAAGTAACAGAAGGCTCCTGAACTGGCTACTTGAAAGGACCCACTGGTTGGGATGAAGAGGAGACTGTATATCAGCATGGTAACCTAAAGATAAGAGTCCTTTTCCCAATTGCTAGATACCACAAAAAATTCTCATAATCTTGTGGAACCCAGGGAAGGAGATAGGCTCCCAGTAATAACTGAGATGGAGTTTTAAAGACAAAATATGTTGATTTAAAAGTAATAAAGGACTATGTTCTGTCTTGTCATTCTGGGTTTCTGGGCCAAAATTCCACACAAACACATTGTTGGGGAGAGTGCCCGCCCATGCTCAAATCAAACGACACTTCCAACCTCTGACGGGGCCAGTGCTGCTGTGAACCCACCCTGCCATGATTTATGCCAGAGAAGGTCACCACTGCCTGAATGATGCGGTTCACTTCTCAGGGTGGCCCCCAATCTGCAGCCATCTCATCTGCCCAGCGAAACAAAACACCACCATCTCTGTGTGCTTTCTAATTCCCGTTATAGCTTCAATGTGTCTACCAAGAGGATCCTTTGGTGTGGCCTTCAGCCCTTCACTCTAAATTCACACACATACACACACACACACACACACACACACACACACACACACGAATGAATGTCTGGCTTTTCCTGATCTTTTTTTTTTTTTTAATATTTATTCATTTTGAGAGAGCATGAGAGAAAACAAGTGGAGAAGGCGCAGAGAGAGAGGGAGAGAGAGAAGTGGAAGCAGACTCTGCACTCCCAACGCAGAGCCTGACACGGTGCTTCAACTCGTGAACCAGGAGATCATGACCTGAGCTAAAATCAAGAGTCAGACACATAACTGACTGAGCCACCCAGGCGCCCCGTCCAGATCTTTTAAATAACATGTGCAAACAAAAACTACTAATTCCCTTTCCCGCAACACAGCAGGGAATCTTCTCTCTTTCCTCTTAGCTGCTGGGACTGTCCCCCACTCCCATCCCACTGGTTTATCCTAGCAAAGGACGCTAAAAGAGCTCTGCTTTCCTCCTGGAATCCCATCCTTCCCTAAGTATGACAAGAGAGAACAATGAGGCCCACCTGCTCCTCACTGGGGAAGAAATACACAAAGCGAGCTTAAGTAAATCTCCATCTCAATAAATATCCTTTCACATACTTTCAGATGTGCGCTGCTATTGAAAAACACTCAATATTCATTGAATGAATGGTGGCCAAGGATATATTTGAACAAACAAAGTGTCATCACAGCACCTCGATAATTTGGAAGTTGTCTATCACACAACGGAACCATAGAACATAGCTAAGAACTGAGAAGAAAACAAAACAGATGTCTTAGAACACTTTACAACTGGGCACTATCAACAGAGGCATCATTTTAGTCTGTTTATATGTTACTTACAGTTCAAGTCAGCCAGGTTTTTGGGTTTCTTTGGTGAAAGGCCTTGAATTTTGGAGCCAGAAGGACTTGGGCTCGGATTCAAATAAATTTAACCCTTTTCTTAATCTGCAAGGTAGAAATAATGACATTTAACCACAAAGTCATACTATGAGAATTAAAGGAGCTAACATATGAAAAGAATCTAATGAAATCTTATAGATAAAAATGTATTTAATAGTGACTTCTTTTTTCTCCTTTTCCAAGACCAAGGCAGACTGGAAGCAGAAGACGAGGAGGTTTCAAAGATGGACAGATAACAGTGACAAGAAATAACAGGCCTAACCTGACCAGAAAGGATATTATGTGGAAAAATAACTCAAAACCACCAGGATCCTTCTTCACTTCCAAGGCCATCACTGGGTCACAGTAACGAAGAAAAGGTGAAATTATATTCAGTATCTTTCTCAGAAGTTGGTGAGACAGGACAGGGACTGTAGACTACTTCTCTCCAAAATAAATAAGATAGAAAATGTTGGGGCTGGGAAGCTTTGCTCAGGGTAGAGGAAAGGGGAGGTGCCACCTTATAAGAAATGGATATACCCGAAGAGCTTGGGTTAACTCTATCCATGGAGCAGAGGTTAGCAGTCTTTCAGTAAAGGGCCAAATAGTAAATATTTTCAGCTCTGTGAGCCACAGAAGGCCTCAGTTACATATATTTCTTTCACGTGTGTATGTTTGTTTTGCCACACTTTAAAAATGTAAAAAAAAAAAAAGTTCTTAATTTACATGCTGTACAGGAGCAAACCACAGATTGGATTTAGCCCACAGGCCATATCCTGTACAGGATTCAAGTTAAGTGCCTTTTAAAATCCATTACATAAAATAATGGGTGAAGTGTTGACGTCTGCATTTAAGTCACCTCACTAGAATCGAAACTTCATTTACTATCATTTTAAATAAACGCACTAATTGGGGTTTACTCATGTTAATATGCCTCTGCTTACAAATGGGAATTTTAACCAACCCAAACAATAAATGGCAAAACTAGGACTCCTATACATATCGGGGAGAAAAGTAAAACTGTATCACAAATAAGAGCTAGCATTTATTGCAAATGTGCTCCAGGCAACATATATGTGACTTGTTATGGACTGAATTGTGCGTCCCCCTGGCCCCTGCCAAATTCATGTGTTGAAGCCCTAATCCCTGGTGTGACTGTATTTGGAAACAGGACCCGTAAAGTAGTTAAGGTTAAATAAGGTCAGAAGGGTGGAGCCCTAACTCAACAGGACTTGTGTCCTTCTAAGAAAAATGCACACCAGGAGTGTGTGTGCCCAGAACACAGGTCACAAGAAGCCTGCTTGTCTGCCAGCCAGGAAGAAAGCCCTCACCAGGAACCAACACTGCCGGCACATCGATTTTACACTCCTGGGGTAAAGTCTGCTATTGAAACCACTGAGTCTGTAGTATTCTGTTGTGGCAGAGTTGGGGTTTGAACCCAGGCAAACTAACTCAGGGTCATGCTCTTAACCAGGTTACAGTGACATTCTTCTCTGGTTTACGGTAAAGATGGCTTCCCACTTAATTAAATAGCACTCATAGGAAGAGCTAACTAGCATCTAATAATGGGACTTGAAATGCTTTCACACATGACCACCTGAAGATTTCTCTAAGTGTCAATCATACAAATTTTACTGCTTCCAAAAGGAGCTAAACAAAGAAGAGATTGATGGCCTATTGCTTGGCAGGGTGGATGTTGGAATCTGCCCAAGGGAAGAAATATGAACCAGATTGTATTTTACCCCTTATGCCTTATATAACATATATGCACCTACAACGTACACCATGGCAACTTTTGTACAGACATTTTTATATAAACCATTTTTTTGTGCAAAATGAAATGTATACTAAAGGAAAGATTAATTTCCAAAATAAACTGGTCTTCCAGATTTTATAGATGTGAAGGGGATGAAGCAGACATACCCAAGCGGCCCAACCTTTATTTTGGCAATCTCCTTTTACCCTCTTTCTTTCCTCGTTGCTCCTGATCTCTGAACTCAGAATCCAGCATTGGCTAATCCCCAGTGGTGTTACACTAGAGAAATGCTCAGGCTGGGCTTAGAGGTTAATCCTGAACTGAATTAACTCCTAACTGATTACACAATTGAAGACTGTTGCAGGAATAGGAAAACAATGGCTAATATGGGCAGAGAATTATCATTAAAGGTTGTCAACTCTTGCGCTTACCCGGTCTGCAGGTTTAATAATCAAATACATAACCTACATGATTTTGAAGGGGCTCATCTGAATATTCTGAATGAAAAATGACAATCCAGGAGGGCACAAAAAGACCCCACGTTGCAAACCGGTTCTCTGGCACCAGTGTTAGATGAATCAAATTTATTCCATTCTGTACCTTCAGAGGTATAGAAATGACTTTCTGAAATGTTGAAGGAGGCATTTTTAAAAATTTCTTTTCTAGAAAACATGCACTGAATACCTCTCGTAAATATTCAGTTGGATTATGGTGGAAACAGCCTGAAACATAGATAGTAGACTTCATAACTTACTAAGTGTTTTTTTGAGAAACATTTATTACAAAAGATTAGTAACTAACCCAATACAAAGATACTAAAGTTGATTGTCATTTTTTTTCTCTCACTCTTCCTTTATATGGTTGGTATTCAAAATGTTAAATCTATGACTGGTGTGGTTTGTCTGCTGCTAAAAAAAATGGAGCAGTGTGACTGCTGTATATGTGTTCAGGCAAGAGTAGCTTATGTTATTGACAGTATTAATATGATAGTTAGCACTTTTTGCATTCAACCATCAACATTTAAGAAGCACCCAAAATCTAGAGTGCCTGGATGGCTCAGTCGGTTAAGGATATGATTCTTGATTTCGGCTCAGGTCCTGATCCCACAGTCCCAAGAAGGAGCCCATGTCGGGTGGTGTTCCGCACTGAGAGTGGAGCCTGCTTAAGATTTTCTCTCTCTCTCAAAGAAAACAAAGAAAAAAAGAAGCACCCAAAATGTGTCAAGCACTCTTCTAGATACTTTGGATATACCTTTTGGATATACAGTGAGTAAAACAAAGATCTGTGCCCTTGGGAAGCTCACTTCTAACAGATGGAAAATGAACAATAAACAACAAGCAGGACAAATAAGTAAATCACTGTATAAGTTTGGAGGGAGACTCCAGACAACTGAAAATGCCCCACGGCAGGGCTTGGTGTTTTGAGGAAAAATAAGGTGACTGGTCTAAGGGTGGAGTGCTTGGGCAGGTGCAAGTAGCAGGAAATGAAATACAAGATGGGACTGAAGAGGTGGCAGGATGGACCAAGCCACACAGTGCAGGGTGAGATATGGGCCGGGATCTGGTTTGGTTTATGCAGAGTGCCGTGGGAGAAAGCTACTGGAGGGTGCCCACTGGGAAGTGATGGAATGTAACTGACATTTTCACTGGAGTACTTTGGCTTCTCTGTGAGGAAGACCCTAAGGGGGCAATGGAGTAAAAGGGAAGACTTAGGGGCTCTGAGCCAATTGTGGCTTGGACTGGGGCGATGGTCAGGGAGATGGTGAGGGGTGGTCAGCTGGAAAATAATTTGGAGAGAAGCCAGTAGGATGTTCTAATATGTGAGGGGTGACAGGTAAAAAGAAGTCCAACTTAGTTTTGCCCTAACTGGGACCGTGGTAATTTTGGGAACAGGATCTCTTCATCTGTACCAGGCAAACTAGCCGTGTAGAACCAGCCAGAGTAGCTATAGTCAGGCACCTTTTAGGAAGTTATACCCAGTGATCATGTGGAGGCAGAGAGCCTGGTGCATGATATGTAATGGTTTGCAACAAGCATCAAAAACAAAAAGAATAGGATGGAAACAATATAAGGTATCAGAGAACACCACATATAATAAAGAAAATACGCATATTTATATATTTGTATGCACTTAAATCTCTATATCTATATCTATATCTATATAAAGGAAGCAGTGTTTGCATATAATAGATCAGGATTAAAAGTAATTCTTACTATGGATTTAGGTCAAAAAATTTGAAAGCACCTGACCCAGTATGCCTCTCAGAGCACAGCACATTGTAGATGATTCAGTGGTTTTGTTGAATTAGAATGAAAACAAAAGAAAAAATATGAATTGGTCTGGTAATAAAACATTTCTTTTCTTTGTCCTAGGGAAGGGGCACGAGGAGAGAAATGTAGTAATCTTTTTCCTCCATGTTAGCTATGACCACAGACCCAGTAAACTGTGCATACAAAAAAAACTTAGGGGCAGTACTTCATTATTACGCAATTTCCAGGGACAGCACTGTCCTTAATTCACAGTGAAACAGACTGAAAGGTCAGGGTGAGTGGTGACAAGCAGTTCTGCCTATTTCCAATGGTAATAAAGTTTTGATTCCCTGACCAAGGTATTGCATTGGTTGACATGGGCCTGGAGCCTATATTCAGGCTTACAAGTCCATATTCTTTTAACACTTAAAATATATTAACTAGAAAGCATGCCATCTTTGGTGAATGGAAAATAGTTTGTTGTGTTTGGTGCAGTTAGGGAGAGGCACAGACTAAACTGGAAAGGCCAGTGGTAATTTCGGGGCTATGAGACATGCAGTCTATATGCCAGGGATGCTAGGTTTAAACATGTGCGGAGACGTGTTGTAGAGCAATCCCTCCACTAAAGTAACGGATTTAGTATTTATATCCATGCTTTTTTAAAGTTTGTGGTCAGTGACTCCCTATCTCCTGGATGAACAGAGCTAGTCAATTGCCTGCCACAGGAGAGTTCAGATTACTACATCAGAAAGGCAGAGTGGGGGAGAGGGGGAAGGAAAGAAAACAAAAAAAACAACCAAAAAAAAGTAGATGTTTTTCTCCAACACAGTTTTTTGAAGCTCATCCACCCTTCCATTGCCATTTTCACTGACTACCTGAAACTATTCTTCCAATGAGTTGAAATACTCATAGGCCTTTTGACACAAAGTGTGGAATTTTTGAGGGACTATTGGTGACATGGAAGAGAACACTCTTGCTCCCCTAGCACCTGACTCACTATGGGAAGTCAGGACAGTGGAAGGAACCCAGCGCCCACTCCCTCCACGGCCACTGGGTTCTCT